TCTCACAATGGGGACATTACTGGGCCCGATGGAGCAAATGGATGAACAACGGGAGGACAGTGCTACAATGCTACGGTGCATTCTTCAACAGCAGTCTCTGTGGCCATCTACGCACTGGTCCCCAAATTCTGAATGAGAAAATTCCTTCAAGCATTGTAGTGTAAGATTTGATAAATATGTCTTGATTTGTGAAACTGTGTACATCTCTTTGTATTTTGCCAAAAAATGAACTTAATGTTTGAAATAAAAAAATAGAAAAAGGGACTTTTTATTAAAGAGCATATGATCCTTAAGAGCTAAGAAACCTTGAGTATTCCTTTGCCAAAGGCAATGTTTAGAGAGCAGACCTAACAAAAGACGTTCTGCTTCATCTCTTCTATAATTCCATCTGGGTGCCGTTAATGAGCGTGCTCTGGCTAATCTTAATTGTCATGATGATATGACGAGATGTGATGTATAAGGTATTCAAACCACGTGGGACAGATTATTAAGAGTCATTGTGAGGCATGAGGATGGAGTGAAACTGAAACATGTCAGGCGCAGGGCTTTGGTATTTCCTGTTCTTAGCGCTAGAATGCTTTAATTTTATGTTGAAAATACAAGCGGATCTTATTTTCCCTCTGATATTTATATGATATAATTTATGTATTTCTACATATTATTCACACACACATACGTAGAGCCATATTTGATGACCGAGAAGGAAGAGGCCCCAAGGGTTCTTTAGTATGCAATTAATATTTTGGTCAGAGAATCAGCAGATTGTTTCAGTATGGTTATGTGTTATGACATCATATTCCAGTAAAGTTATAATGAACAGAAATTTTGTTTGTCTCTGTGGCAAACCAAAATGAGTTTTGTAATTGTCAGCAGGCCTTCGTGATTATAGTGGCGCCCAGTCCCTCTACCGTAGTTAAAGGTCTGTGCGCGTTCCGGCCGTAGACCTCTATTTTCAGAAGTGGATAATTAATTGTAAACATTTGCTGTATAGCGAAGCTTTCCCTATAAGCTCTCAGTCCAGGAGTAAACTTCTGCTCTCAGATTGTCTGCTTTAAGGTTTTACAGTGGAACCCGTTAAAATTAATGCATAAAGTTCAGTGGAGGCGGGAAAATTGGATTTTGTGGGATGCAAAGTGAAGATAGTTTGTGTTCATCATCTGAGTCTGCCAAAATGCCTTAAAGGGAACTTAAACAAGGCAGTAGTAGGAAATTTTGCACACCAGTACACTAGCTGTTGTACTAAAAGAGTGAGAGATACGGTTTTGTGTTTTAGAGATTGTAATTTTTAATGCTTCTGTAGACTGCATGCAGACTTTGCAGTAGTCTTTACTGAAAGTGGTTTTTTCCTCTTAAGACTTACACTCGAAATTAAAATGAGAGCATGGGAAGTAGCAAAAACTTCATTTAGTTGCTTTTGTTTCTTAAAATCATAGAGAATTGTGGTTCGAAAAAAATGGACTAATTTAAAAAAGCAACTTTTCTTTTTTTCTTTCATACTCTGGATTTCTCCACTGCATTTGACACTGCTGATTATCCCTTTCGCTGATGTTGTGTTGTAATTTCTTCTCTAACTCTGAGCCTCTTTCATCTCCTTCTCTGCTGTCTATTATTTCCCCTGTCTTTTGATCATGGACATGAATCAGTTCCCAGCCTTGGGCCCGCTCTCTTGCTTCCTTTACACTTTCAAGGTGCTTCTCCATACATATGGTTTCAATTATTGACTCCTAAATCTGCATCTTCAGCGTTGATCTACATGACTACATTTCTGGTCCTTCACCTTTAGGAAACCTTCACTGATTAGTCCCATCTGCCTTGTGAGTGTTGGGGAACTGGACAATGGGATCTGCCCAATTTACCTCTGTTGAATATACAGCATCGGCACTTGGATGTTCAGTAACTGTCTAAACTTCCTAGCATCTCAGTTGGTCTTCCTTTTGCTTCGATATAGATGTTTTCTTAGCTCTGGAGTGATACTTATGAGCTTATTTATTTATTTGTGGTTCCAGAGATTGAATTCAGGGCCCCACACAGGCCAAGCATGAATTCTACTGCTGAATGACAGACAGCCTTGGCCCTAGAGTGGCTTCTGAAGTTTCATTTCAGCATTGCAGTTACAAACGCACAGTTCCATTTAAATGATCATTTTAGTTTTGTGAACTTGTCTAACTTAGTAGTCTGATTTCTCAGTCATTTTACTTGACCTGTGAATAGCTTTTCAGCCCCTTCCTACTGCCAGTTAGGCCTTCAGGAAGGATCCATGCTTGCCTGTTCTCCTATCACTCCCTCCCATGGATTTCTTATCCTCTTGTGGCTGTAAATTCCATTTATCTATGGAAGATTTTCGAGTTTGATCTCTCCCTTGGGTCTCTTTCCTGGAGTCCAGACTCATACGTCTGCCTGGCCAGTCGACATCTCTAAGCCAGTGCTATATGTCTCACCCGTTCTTTCTTCATCAACTCAGTAAGTGGTTTATCTAGCTTCATGGTGCTCAGGTCAGAAACCCTGGGGTCATCCTTCACGCTGGTGACCCATAGATAGTTTTTGGGCAAGACCCTTCGTCTCTTCTTTTGGCACTCATCCAAAGTCCGGCGACTTTTTATCACTTTGACTGCTCCCAGCCTGGTCCAGGTGATTGTTGCCTTTCTCCTGAATCACAGTGAAACCTGGGAGGGCTCCTGTGGCATCACTAACCTTCAGCTTGTTCTCACAGCAGACTCTTCCAAGACAGAAGCCAGATCATGCAGTTCTCTGCTTAATGTCTTCTAGTGACTGACCACTTGGTGTCAGTCAGATCCATCACAGAGTTAATTCAGGAAATCCATAAGGAGTCTGGCCCTTCATCTCATCTTTAATCTCCCCTTCCCCCAACTCTATTTTGCAAAGCAGAAAAGTTTAGAATGATGTGAGGGGAGAGGGAGGGAGAAGGACCCATTACACAGACTTCTCCAGAGTGGAAATAAGCAAAGAAACGGAGACAAGTGAAATATATGTTCAAGGGAGTCTTTCCCCTCTCGATACCCTCAACTCAAACCAGAGGATCTTCCTCGGAACTGCTTTTAATAATATGCATGACATTGGCATGTTGCTGTCTTGGGGCTCTTGCCTTTATTGTGTTCATTCCTCAGTGCTGTGTTCTAAGCAAGAGAGAGGGTATAGTGGTTGCCTTGCGTGCAGCCAACCTGGGTTCAATCCCCAGCATCAACTGTGGTCCCCCAGCCTCGCCAGGAGTGATGCCCGAGGGCGGTGCTTGGAGTAAGGCCTGAGCACTGCCAGGTGTGGTCCAGTACCCCTTAGCCTCCATGCTTTATTTTCAGTCACTGAGAGGTTTCCTCTGTAACTTCAGATCTTGACATAACTCATTTTCTCAGTGACAGTCTCGCTAGCTTCCCTGTTTAAAACCTACCTCCCTGACAATTCTGAATCCTTCCCTCTTTCTCTATCTAACGCCTATCTCTAACATACGAGGTAGTATCCCCGTCATACCTGTTTTTGCTCAGTGACATACTCCTCTGTCACATGGGAAGCATGGCACACATAAAAAGGGATTAATAGATTTTGTTTGCATAGTTCTTCTTTCTTCTTAATTTCTGTGTTCTTCTCAAAACACCTTTGATTTCTTCACTTGTGCTTCATTGCAGCTTCCCAGTAGTGCAGTATCTTAGAAACCTACTTACTGCAGTATCAGAAACCTCCAAACATTCTTACCTTCAGCACATTGTTTTCTTATTTTTTGGGGGGAGGGTGTCGGGGCCTTCCCTGCTGGTGCTCAGGAACTGCTCCTATTTGATAGGCTGGCACTGACCTGGGAACTGCTCAGGGGCTGTGTGCTGTGCAGTACCAGAGATCAAACCTGGGCCTCCAGCATGCAGAAACCTGCACATTAGCCCTTGGAGTTCTCTACCTGGCGTGCACATTTTTCGTTAAGGTACTTTTCACTTAAGAGTTGGCTCAAAGTCCTTTCTTACCTCGAATCTAACCTCTTCATGACTTTGTAAGCTCCCTATTACTTTGGGCTAATAGCTCCATTTCTCTCCTCCTCTCCCATTTTTGATCATAACAGTTCAGCTAAAAAGCACAGTAATCTGTATGTGTTGTCGCCTAAATAGACTTGTTGTTCCTCACCCTTCATCAACAGACCACGTGGCACAATTCCCTTGGAATATGACTGAAAGTGTGAATCTTCAGGAAGTTTTTTTGGACATAATTTACTTTTACTATGTTATTTTTTCTTTAATGTTCTCATAGTATTTATTTTTTTTGTGGAGATCTGTATTCACTATTGTCTTTAAATACGTGGTTTCATATTTTATCTTTTCTGGTTTGTTGTTTGGGCTACACTAAGAGGTGCTCAGGGCTCACTCCTGACTCTGCATTCAGGGATCACTCTGGACAGACTTGGGGGACCTTACAGGGTGTTGGGATCCAAGCCAGGTTGGCTGTGTGCAAGACAAGCACTTAACTTCTGTACTCTCTCTCTGCTCTCCATGATTTTTCTCTTAAAAATACGTTTATGAGGGTTAAATTTTATTGGATTAGTAAGAGGTATGTTATATGTCTGAGTTCATCCCCAGAAGTGTGCAGTCCTGTGCTTGAGAACCACTGGAACAGAATCTGGTGGTGCTCTAGGGGTCATGTTGTGTTAGGGATTAAACAAAAGGGTTTTTTTTCTTTCCCTCTATGACTTAAGCCATATTCTTGACCCTGATATCCTTTTAAAGAAAACAGATATCAGTGGGCTGGGGCATTTGTCCACTGTGTGGGTTGCTGGCCTTGCATGTGGCCAACCTAAGTTCGATCCTTGGCACCACAGGTGGTTTCCCAAGCCTCACCAGGAGTGGTTCTGGAGCACAGAGACAGGAGGACTCCAGGAGAAAGGCTGGAGCACTGCTGGGTGTGGTCCAGAAAACCAAAAGGAAAAGAAGAAAAGAACAAACAAATCTTACTAATGGTTATGGAGTGATTTTACTGAACTAATTGATACCGTTATTCTGTTATTTTAGATATCATTGCCCTATGCCCAAGATCTTTTACGTTCAGCTGACTGTAGGAAATAATGAATTTTTTGGGGAAGGAAAGACTCGACAAGCTGCTCGACACAACGCTGCCATGAAAGCTCTTCAAGCCCTGCAGAATGAGCCCATCCCGGAGAAGTCCTCTCAGGTGTGGTACAGCAGCATGCCTGCTTCCTCTGGACGCATCTCATTGCCGTTACTGAGGCGTGACAAGCAAACACATTTTTGTAAATAAAAAGACACTTTCTTGAATTCGGAAAGAATACTAGAATGGTGATCTACCAGGTTTTGCTTCTTAGATCACCTCTTAGTGAGACTCATGTACATGTTTCATGTTTCTGCTAGGATCAGCTTGACTTAAAAAATTTTGGCTCACCTACAGACTTTTTTTCAGTTTTTTTTTAAGGGGTAAGGGTCACACCACCGATGCTCAGGAATTACTCCTGGAAGTGCTTAGGGATTATATGGGATGCCAGGGATTGAACCTGGCTCAGCTGCGTGCAAGACACACACCCCACCCACTGTACTGTCTGTTCCCTCCCCCTCACCTATGGACTTGATCTATAAGTCAGACTTTTTGCATGTGCTCAATGATGAGAAATAGCTTTCATTCATCTTGAAGTTAATGCTACATTTATTTAGCACTGATTACTTTGTGTTAATCTAGAAATTTTCATGGATTTTTCAGTCCTATTTTCACAAAGGAAGATAATGAGGCTAGTCCTAGGTAGTTTTGCCTCTTCCTCTGACTTTGGCTACTTTATGATTTAAAAGTGGTACCTTCATCTTAGGTATGTCTTGTAAGTCACCTTCTTAAGTTCTCTGCTTAGTTACATCAAATTGTATGACTCAAAATTCTGCAGTACTGGGCTGGAGTGATAGTACAGTGGGTAGGGCATTTGCCTTGCACGTGACCGACCTGGGTTTGATTCCCAGCATCCCATATGGTCCCCCGAGCACCTCCAGGAGTAATTCCTGAGTGCAAAGCCAGGAGGAACCCCTGAGCATCGCTGAGTGTAACCCAAAAAGAAAAAACAAAAACAAACAAAATTCTACAGTGCTTTTTTTCTCCAAATGTGTTTCTTTCTCCCTTTAATATTTATCTTAATCATGGACTTAAGTACATTTTCTTGCATAATTTTATTAAGACTTAGCCACGTCTCTCTTTTTTAGTAGGTATTAAGCTTATTGACATCAGGAGTGTTCGTTATTTATCTTTAATACTTAGACTATGGTCAGCATATATAAAGCCCTCCAGAAATATGTTAAATTGGTGAATAAATGAATTGATGCCAGAGCCATATAAGTTCCAAAAATTCTGGCTTGCATCTCACAGTCTTTCTACAGTTTATTATTCATAATGATATCAGTATAAAGTGTATGTAGTCTGTGTATAGGGATAGAGATTTCTAAAGAGAATTAGATATAGGATGCAATATACTCAGATTAGTGTATGGATGTGTAACATTTCCACATTCAGCATTTATTCTTCTACTGTGAAGAACAACCTTAAAAACTAAATTACAAAAAGGCATGCAGCAAATGCCTTAAATACTGCGGTCACTGAAATCTACAAGCCACTCTTTGGTTTGCTGTTTCTTGCTATATTTTAGATCCATTTGTTTGTAAAATGCATGTTAAGTTTGTAACAAGTGAAGATTCAGTATCATCTCCCTTTTTTAAATTTAGAATGGCGAATCAGGAAAAGAAATGGATGATGACAAAGATGCAAATAAATCTGAGATCAGCTTAGTGTTTGAAATTGCTCTGAAGCGAAATATGCCTGTCAGTTTTGAGGTACGTACTGAGTTAAGTACTCATATTCCAATCCCTGTTTCCCTACCTAAATAAGCACATTTAACATGTACAGTAGGATCTTGAAAGTGTTAATGTATTTAAAAAAATCTTATTGAGGTACTTGATTTACAATATTGTAAATGATGGTGTCATGCAGTTAATAGAGTTTCCTTTCTTTGTCATTTTATTTATGGTTTACACGTTGTTCATGATAATTTGTTACATTCAATATTCTGACACCAATCCCACTACCATTGAACCTTCCCACCATCATTATTTCCAATTTTCCCAACCACCCCTTTGCTTGCGCCTGTAACAGGACTTAAATAATTTATTTTACATTGCTTGTTATATGTAATTTGCTAATAGAATGATCAAAAAGTGTTTCCTTAGAAGAAGTTAGTGAAGATTGTTGTATCTCACCACGGAGCCATTAAGCCCTTGCATATGAGATTACTAAGATGTTGTTAAAGGTTGAGCCTTCTGTGCTTATATTTTGTTCATTGAGATTGGTTGCGTTCTACATAACATCCCATCCAATTTGGGATGCTACTCTGAAATATCAGTGTTGTAGAGCTTGAGATGTTGTGTGTCTATGGTTGCGGCCGCACGTTCCAGGAAGTCCAAAATTTTTAATGGGGTGATACAGCTAGAGTTAAATTTTCATTTTTATTTGTTTTACTTTTTGGGTCACACCTGGCTGATGCTCAAGGATTACTCCTGGCTCTGCCCTCAGGAATTACTCCTGGCATTGCTCGAGGGACCATATGGGATGCTGGGGATCAAACCCAGGCTGCCCGGGTACAAGGCAAATGTCCTCCCCGGTGTACTATCACTCCGGTCCCTGGAGTTAAATTTTTAACTGGGTAGTGGCTTTGGGGCGTGTGCATGACTGCTGGACCTTTTGGGAGTACATCGAGATGTGGGGAGGTGGCCCACCCCAGACTCTGGGAAAGCCTGGAGGTACCAGTCATAAAATCTGCATACCTGAGGTTTTCAACAGATTAATTTCTGAAAGAGGCTTGTCCCGAGCCGTGGGTCGGGCCGGGAGGATAGCATCAGTTACGAAGTGTGGAGGGTTTTGGCTGTTGAGTATTTGTTTGGGTGGGCGCTGGAGTCACCTGCCTCTCTTATTATGACTCAGCTTGTGCGGAGTCTGGAAGAATCTCTCAGTTAATATATTTTCTTAAGTTCAAGCAACTCTGTCTTGAAATTATATAGGTAATGGGGAATATAGAACTTTGAATTTCATGAATTTGTTCTAAAACCTTTAGCTTTCTTGTTTTAAGCCATTTTTGCATTGAACCAATATCGAGTATTTGAATTTTTAATCATAAAATTTCTATCTTGATGTTTTTTGTTTGGGGGCAACATCCAGCACCCAGCAGTGCTTGGGGTTTACTCCTGGCTCTGTGCTCAGGGGTCACTCCTGGTGAGCTGTGGGGAGCATCTAGAATCTCAGGGATCAAACTCGGGTCAGCCATGTGTAAGGCAAGTACCCTACCTGTTGTACTATTGCTCTGGCCCCTAAAATTTGTTATCTTAGTGAAAGACAATTTGGAGTAGTACTCTCTCTTAATAAGATCAGATTGGAAATATTAAAATTAATGTTTGGTAACACATTTATTAATAACAAATTTCTTCTGAGTTTAAGAGGTAGTAGCACTGTAGAACTGTCCTCCCATTGTTCATCAATTTGCTCGAGCAGGCACCAGTAACATCTCCATTTTGAGACTTGTTACTGTTACTGGCATATTGAATACATCACGGGTAGCTTGCCAGACTTTGCCATGTGGGTGGGATACTCTCTGTAGTACAGTAGATAAAATGCTTGCCTTGCATGTGGCCAACCCAGGTTCAGTCTTCGATACCCCATAAAGTCCCTTGAACAAGCCAGGAGTGATCCCTGACTACACAGCCAAGAGTGAGCCCTGAAGAAAGTAACACTATAACTAGGTAACAACACAACACAACACAACACAACACTGTCCTCCTGTTGTTCATCGATTTTGTTTGAGTGGGCCCAGTAATGTCTCCATTTTGAGACTTCTTGTTACTATGTTTGGCATATCGAATACGTCACGGGTAGCTTGCCAGGCTTTGCCGTGCGGGCGAGATACTCTCGGTAACTTGCCAGGCTTTCCAAGAGGGGCGGAGGAATCGAACCCAGCTCTGCCAGTCTGGCTGTGCACAAGGAAAATGCCCTACCTGCTGTGCTATTGCTCCAGCCCAAATGTCACAAAATAGTTATAGAATTTTGTGGAATCTAACAGAGGAAAAATTCTAAATGGGTTTCTTCTAGTAAAGAGTCATTGATTTTGCAACTCAGATATATAGAACAACTTCTTTTCCTCCTTCTTTTCCTTCTCCTTTTCCTTCTCAGGATCACTCCTGGCGGACTCAGGGGTGTGTGGAATACCTGTGATCAAACCTGGGTTGACTTCATGCAAGCTGTTGCTTTGCTCCCTATTTAGGTTTCTTCTAAGTTATGATTCTAACAGCTTAGGTTATCTGATTTCTCAACCTGTGGTATATTAAAAGCAGCAAAATGAAGTAGGCAGGATGAACTATTGGTCCCAGCAAGAAATGATAGGGAAATACTAAGAGCCTATTAAAAGTAATTTTGCATGTTTGCACACACACGCACAGACACTCTCTCTCTCTCTCTCTCTCTCTCTCTCGGTGGTGCTCATGAGACCATATGGGATGCCAGGGACCAAACCTATGTTGGCCTTGTGCAAGGCAAGCACCCTACCTGCTGTACTATCACTTTAGCCCCGGCATCAGTGAATTTCCTAAAGATTTTATTTCAGGGACCCATGGTTTACAGTCCTGTTAATGGTAGGCACGTCTTGTGTAAAACCCTCCACCGGTGTCTGCTTCCTTCCGCAATTGTTCTGTGCCCACATTCCTCCAGCCCCCCACGTTCTGAAGCTTTTCACTGAAGACCAGGCCTCAGTTTCTGTTGACAGACATCACTCTAGGTCTCATTTGATGCTTGTGATGGTGATCTGAATTTAGAAAACATTCTGCAGTATTACTTAGCTTTTGTCAGGAAAGTAGATGCTTTGTTTCATTGCATGGTTCTTTATTTCTTTTTGGAGAGCCTCCCAGGTAGTCCTGGAGCCATGAGGTCTACACTCAGTATTCAGGAGGCCATGTGATGCTAAGGATTATTGTTTTTTTAAAAAAATTTATTTATTTTCGGGACCAGAATGGGCTGGAGTGATAGCACAGCGGGTAGGGCGTTTGCCTTGCACGAGGCCGACCTGGCCGACCTGAGTTCGATTCCTCCGCCCCTCTCGGAGAGCCCGGCAAGCTACCGAGAGTATCTCGCCCGCACGGCAAAGCCTGGCAAGTTCCCCATGGCGTATTTGATGTGCCAAAAACAGTAACAACAAGTCTCATAATGGAGACGTTACTGGTGCCCACTCAAGCAAATCAATGAACAACGGGGCAGCAGTGCTACAGTGCTACAATTCTCAATAATTTTAATCTTGATTTTTTTGGGGAGTGGAATATTAAGAAGAACAGATCACAAGTAATTGGTGTGCTACTTAATATCTTACTTTGGTTTAATAGGTAATTAAAGAAAGCGGACCACCGCATATGAAGAGCTTTGTTACTCGAGTGTCAGTGGGAGAGTTCTCTGCAGAAGGAGAGGGAAATAGTAAAAAACTCTCCAAGAAGCGCGCTGCTACTACGGTCTTACAGGAGCTCAGGAAACTTCCGCCTCTTCCTGTGGTTGAAAAGCCAAAACTATTTTTTAAAAAACGCCCCAAAACAATAGTCAAGGTAAGTGAAACTTGTGGACACCAGCCGCAGGTTGGAGATAATAATAAATGAATCAGTCAGCTTGGAGATAAAGTCTCCATTATTCTTCTCCTCTCTCACATTTTGTTTTTTAGGTATTCAGTTACTTCCAGAATAAGTAGGGCTTTATTACTAATCAGTATTATGTTTATCCCACTGTTTGTTTATCTGTTCATTCTTTGGTGGATATTTGGACTGTTCCTGGTTTGGAGTATTATAAATAAAACTACTGTAAATATTTGTGTGTAAGATACATGCTCTTGCATTTATTTTTTTTGCTTTTTTCTTTGGGAAAATATTTATGAATGAATGAGCCACTTGGTAGGCATATATTCAGCATTTTGAGTAATTGATACTTGTTTTTAAAGTGATTGTATCATTTTGCATAATCATGCAAGGACTTTAGATGCCGTCCGTACTTACTAACACAAATATAATGCTTATTTTCACTTACTCTGTTTCAGTTGTATTGGCATCTCCTTGCAGCTTCAATTTATAGTTCCTCAGTTTCTAATGATACTGACCATTTTTTTATGTATTTTGTAATACATGAAACTTGATGAAGGGTTGATTATCTAATTACTTATTGATAATATCTCTGAGTCCTTAATCTCACAAAAGTCTTAGTTTCAAATTTATTTTGTGGTTTTCTTTTATAAATCTTTATAAGTGACTCATTCAACTTCACCAGGGGAGATGGGGGAAATCCACAGTTTCCTTAAAGATGCAATAACAGATTTTACAAGAATAATCTAAAAATTCTTTCAATATTACTTTTTAGGCTGGACCAGAGTATGGTCAAGGAATGAACCCCATTAGTCGCCTGGCTCAGATTCAGCAGGCCAAAAAGGAGAAGGAGCCAGATTATGTGCTGCTTTCGGAAAGAGGAATGCCTCGACGTCGGGAATTTGTCATGCAGGTACTGTATTTCTATAAAAATTTCTATAAAAATAAAAATATATTTCGAAGGTTGTTTTTTAGCTACTATGTTAAACGAGGGGGAAAAAAAGCCAGGTTAGAATAGAGATAATGGGCAAAGATAAATTGGGAATTAATAACAAAGTAAAAGTGCTCACGGTTAGAGCATTCAGTTCCTCTCTGTCCTCCTGAGCAGACAATTCAGGTGTCCAGGTCGTGTTAACCTGGCCAGCGTGGAGTCTGGAAGGCACTCTTCACTCACACAGGTTACTTAGCACAGAGTTTATCGGTTAGAAAGCTTATCTCGAATTTATTCCCATTAGAATTTGCAGCCGGAGTCTATTAGCTCCTGGCAGTTGTAGACAAATGGAATTAGAAACAAAATTTAGAAGGATGAACGTCGTAGGTGGAACAGAGCCAAGAGTATGAACTTGGGCTTATCAGGAAAAATAAGAAAAAAGAGCTAGCTGGCTACTTAATATGAGGAGGACTGAGGGAACTGGAATTGCTGAGAAATCTAACTGCTGCCTTAGGTAGCCAAGAAAACTGAAGGATGTTTGCCAGCAGGTTAGCAGTTGGGCAGGAACTAGGATTCAGGTAGCGTTCTCAAGATGTTCTTTGTCTCAACAGATCCTATTTATCTTCATTTGTCAACTGTCCAGTCTTGAAGAAACTTTTCATTTTTTTAAATCAGGAAAATGACAAACTAATAAAGATGGATATATTAAATAGTTTACAAAATTGTGTAATGCACTTTCAATATTATACAAATACTAAAATAAGGGGCCAGAGAGCTAGTACAGTGGTCAGGGTACTTGCTTTGCATGCACCCCACCTGGATTTGATCCAGACCATCCCGTGTGGTCCTTTGAGCCTTACCAAGTATGGTCCCTGAGCACAACTGGATGTGGCCCAAAAAGTGAAAGAAAAAAATATAACAAAAAGAAACAAATATAAATAAAATTTAAGTTATACTTAATGTTATACTTAATTGGACTATCAATTATCAGTCCTGCATCCCTCCCTCCCTCCTTTCCTGCCTTCCTCCCTCCATTTCTCCTTCCCTCCCTCCCTTTCTCCTCCCCTCACTACTCCTCTCCCCTTCCCACCCCCCTCCCCTTTCCTCCTTCCCTTCATCCATTCATCCCTCTCTCTCTTCCTCCCTTCTTCCCTTTCTCCCTCCCTCCCTTCCTTACCTACCTAACTTCTCCCCTTTCCTTCCTGTTGCCTCGAGACAGCCATGTGCCACACATGCTTGAGTGTGCTACACATGCCTTGCAATGCGCGCACACATGGCCTGGTGCTCACCAGGAGTTGGACTCATCTAGTCGTGCTTGTGTCCATTCTGGTCGTAGTGCTCTCCAGGGCCTACATTTGTGCTCACTAGGCCATCATGTTCCTGGTGGTGATACTCACACATCATTAATTGTGGTGCTTGCACAAACTTACTGAATATCCAAGCTCACACACTTGGTGGCAGTTTTAGGGACCCCAGACAGCAGAGCTGTGGGAGAACATTTGGTGCATGTGAGAGGCACAGGAGATTGGGTTCATGATCTCATGCTTTCGAGGTTGTTTTTTTTTTAAGTTTTATTGAGTCACCGTGAGATAGTAACAAGCTATTATGTTTGGGTTACAATCACACAGTGATCAAACATTCATCCCTTCACCAGTGCACATTTCCCACCACCGATATCCCCGGTATACCCCCCCTTTCCCACCCTCCCCCTGCCTCCATGGCAGACATAATTACCCATACTCTCTCTCTCTACTTTTGGGTATTATGATTTGCAGTACAGACCTTGAGAGGTTATCATGTTTGGTCCTTTTTTCTACTTTCTGCACACATCTCCCATCCCGACTGATTCCTCCAGCCATCATTTTCTTAGTGATCCCTTCTCTATGCCAGCTGCCTTCTCCCCTTTGCTCATGAGGCAGGCTTCCAGCTATGGAGCAATCTATATGTCCCATGCATCTACTATCCTTAGGTGTCAGCCTCATGTTATGTTATTTTATACTCCACAGATGAGTGCAGTCCTTCTATGTCTGTCCCTCTCTTTCTGACTCATTTCACTTAGCATGATACTCTCCATGTCTATCCATTTATAAGCAAAGTTCATGACTTCATCTCTTCTGACAGCTGCATAGTATTCCATTGTGTAGATGTACACCACGCGCACCCAAAGCTGAACCGTTTTGGGCTTTCGACGTTTTAGCCACTGAGCTATTTCCCAGGCCCCTGACAAGTATTTATAAACTGATGACCATGTGAGAGACATTTAGTCATCCAAGCATAGTAAGTCACACCGATGAACTCTTCATGCATGACTAGCTTTATCTTCTTTTCTCCTAGTTCTGTGGTGTGTTTATAATATAACCTTAGTAAACCTTTGAATTATATTTGCTGCTTACCAGCTTATTGATAGCTGGAATGGTTGACTTTTGTTGGAGGTGTCCCTTTGCTAGGAAGTCATAGACAAACCACTGGGCGCCTGGCTAGATGGAGAAGGGGAATTCTTCCTGTCAGTAAACACATTGACTGGTCTCTTTAGGAGAGACTATTTTCACTTCATTAGCATATAGTCACTTCTTTTTTTTAATTGTTAACTTTGAAGTGTTTGAGAAGGCATTCCCTGGACTCCAAAACCTGAAAGAAAAAAGTGCATCTAAGTTTTAGACGTGCCTTAGGGACATAAACTGGCTTTGACACCATTGAGCATTTCCTCCCCTCCCCCCCATGGGTATATTGAGTACCACTTTTGAAAGAGGAATTTAGAGTGTGTTAGTCCAGCTTCCATTTTATGGGTATTCATAAACATTTTAGTCAAACAGGAACATTTGACTATGCTTTTTAAATGTTTTCTTGATGAATTCATTTTTCCCCCCTTTTGGAAAGTCCCCATGGAATAATTACAATATTGCAACCATTTTATCAAAGGCTTGCTTATAAACAACCTAAGTCCTATTGTAATTGGGTATAATTTGAAATGGAAGTAAAGTGTCTCAAGGTAAAATGTTTATATAAGTCTGTCACCAAAATTTGAGTAAGTTTGTGTGTTATAAGATAGATGCAGTTCCTTATACTGATTACTAAATAACCAAGAGAAATCTCCGATGTCATTTACTTGAATATTTAGATCCAGAACAAATTTCTTAAAGTTTGTTTTTTAGAGAGGGATATTTTAAGTTTTCAAGGAGAAAATTGTAACAAAATACCATATCAGCACATTTTATTATTATATTTCATGTGATGTTAATTTTTTCCCACTGTGATTAAGCTCTTTGGTTGTGTTAAAAAATTTAAAAAGCAAATTTCACCAATTTTAGTTGTGATGCAGTGAAGAGTAATGAATTGACCACAGTACTGAACTAACAGTTGTATATTGACTTTCTTTAAGAGTTATTTGATGTTCCTTTTTAAATGTAGAATGCAGTATGAACATTATTTTATAATTAAAGTTTTTCAATGTGAGTATTTTTGTAATGGTTTAAATTATAGTTATACATTGTGCTAAATTTAATTTTTACATCCGCAGTTTTAGAAGTTATAATTGATGTATAACGTGATAATTATTTAAAGTACTTTGATACTTGAATATATTGCAAATGATAAGCATAATAAGTTTAGTTAACATCATCACCTGGTGTATTAACATTTTTTTCCTTTGTGGGGGGTATGGCTCAGTGGTAGAGCACGTGTCTTGATTGTGTAAGGCGTGGACTTTGATTCATGAAATTTCAGGGGGAAAAAATGCAGTTTCTTGTGATGGGGACAATTAGGGTCTGCTCTCCTATCAACCTCCAAGGGTTGTGTACTGCAGTGTAACAGTGTAATGTAAATGTAATGTAAAACTATGCTTCACATTATATTCAGCATTTGCTTCTCTTATATTAGAAATTTGTGTCTTTTGATCTCATTTTATCATCACCACCATCTCAGTTCTTAGCAGCTGCAAATCTGTTCTAGATATCTGAGTTCAGGCTTTAGATGTAAGAGAGATCATATAGTTTTGTCTTTGCGTTTACTCAGAACATTAATCAGAACATAATAAGTTTACAACAGTTTGTTTTAGGTAAAAAACTCCTTAACTTTGAACACATTCCAAACTTTACATATTTTTTATTCCTTTTCCATATTTCATGTTGTTTGATACTCCATATTACACCTTGATGTGTGATGTGTGTATCACTTAACTAATTATTAGAGCTTTAGTTAATGTTAATACATTTGGCTGTTAATGTCTTTTCATGCTTGTTTTATATGTGATTGATCCTTTACAATATAATTGCCTTTACCAGAATGCCTTTTAAAAATTTTATTTTATGTGTCCTTTTATTTCTGGTAATGCCACTTATTTTCAGTTGAAAGAAGTTCTGTGTATATTTCTTGCAAAGCCAGTTTAGTGATGATGAATTCGTTTTGTCCTTTGCTTATTTGGGAAATAGTTCATCTTATCTCACCCTTATTTCTGAATGTTTACCTTGATTAGTAAAGAATTCTTGGTTGGAACTTTATTTTCTTTTTTTGTTTCATTTTGTTTTGTTTTTTCCTCTTTCAGAGTCACACCTGGTAATGCTCAGGGTTACTTGCTCTTAACTCTGTACGCAGGAATTACTCCTGGAGATGCTCAGGGGACCATATGGGATGCTTGGGATAGAACCTGGGTCAGTCATGTGCAAGGCAAACGCTCTACCCACTGTACTCTCTCTCCAGCTCCCAGGAACTTTATTTCCTTTGAGCACTTTGATGATATTCCACAGTCTCTTCTGCCCTCTATTTTTTTTAAAAACTTTTATTTCATTATTTTAAAGTTGTTCACAATGATTTATTGCATTCAGCATTCCAGCACCAATCCCACTGCCATTACACCTTCTCACCACCATTATTTCCCGTTTTCCCATCTGTCACCCAAGTCTGCCCCAATTAGCAGGTCCTGAATAATTGATTTTATATTACTTATTATGAACAATTCGCTAGAAAAGATCAAAAAAGTTTTCCTTAGAAGAAAATGTGTTGTCTCTCACCCTGGAACCATTGAGCCTTTGTAGATGAGATTATGAACATGTTGTTACAGGTTAAGCCTTGGGTGTAAAATTTTCTTAATCGAGATGGATTGCCTTCTACTTTATATCCCATCCAATGTGGTGTGCTGCTTCTGGTATATCAGTGGTTTAGAGTATGAGGTGTTGCTCCAGGAATTCTAAAATTTTGAATTGGGTGATACAGCTGGAGTTAACATTTTAATAGGGTGCTGACTTTGGGATCCAGAAACATCTCTGCAGCTTGTCGATCTCTGGATCGTATGCCCTCTACATTTTTGTTGAAAAAAAGGTTTTCTTTGCACTTTTTATTTTTGATAGCAGTGGGGATGGAAAAATTGGGTACACTTGATGTTTCTCGTTTGTTTTTGTGTTATACCCTGCTGTTCTCAATTTACTGGTGCTGCTGCACGCTTCACTCCTGGCAGGAATGGAAGACCATAGGGGGTGCTGGGGATCGAACCTGGACCAGCAGCGTGCAAGGCAAGCGCCCTACCCACTGGACTATCATTCCAACCCCTTCTTTCCACTTTTAACATCCTCTCTGTGTCTTTAATTTTGTCATTTTAATTAACAGTGCTTCATGGCAGAGATCTCTTTGGATTCCTTTTTTTTTTAAAGTATAGAATTATTATTATTTTTTTCCCCTTTATTTTATTTTATTTTTTTTAAAGTTGTAGATTTACAATTTTTTGTGCTTTGGTTTCAATTATACAATGATCAGATACCCATCCCTCCACCAGTGCCCATTTTCCACCACCATGGATAATATCCCTCCCACCCCCATCCCCCCATCCCCCCTGTCTGGATTCCTTTTAACTCGATTTCTCTGTGGATATCTTTCTCCTGCTCCAGATTGGGCCATCATTTGTTGAAATGAGTTTTTCTGATCCTTTCTTCTGCTGAGATACTTAAAATGCAAATATTACTTTGGGTGTTGTCCTGCAGGTCCCTTAACGTCCCTTCGCTTTTTGTGACAGCGTCCCTAGCCATGCACTCCAGGGAGCCCGCTGAGATGCTCACACATTTGAAGCTTGTCCTCCTGTCTCTTGAACCATCTCCCTGGCCACATCATCACTTTTCAGAATTCTTTTTTATTTTCCTCCGATCTGGATGAGTTCCATTGCTTTCTCTTCCAGCTCACTTGTCTGCTCAACTGCTTTATTTGTTCTGCTCTTGGACAGCTCCGTTATACATTTGAGGTTTATTATTGTATTCTTCATCTCTGTAACTTCTGTTTGAATCTTTCTTAATTTTGGGGCAGGAGGGTCATACTGGGGGAGTTCGGTCCACATCTGGCTGTGCTCACAGTTCACTCCTGGCAGTACACAGGGAACCCTAAACGGTGCTGAGATCAAGCTGGGGTTGGCCACGGGCAGAGCATGTACCTTAACCCTGTCCGATCTCTCTGGCCTCAATCATTCTCATTTTATTTGAGTCATATATTTTTCTCAGAAATTGGTGGCCATCTTAGCCATTAATTTGTACCGTTTGTTTGTTTTATTCTGGGCCACACCCACAGGGTCTCAGTGGCTACTCCTGGCTCTATGCTTGGGGGTTGCCGGTCGAGGTGCTGGGGCTTGAACCCATGCCCCTGCATATGAAACATGTTCATCCAGCCTGGCTGTTACTTTGAGCTCTTAATTAGGTGTTTCACTGTTATTATTCCATCACACTCTTTTTTTCAGAGTTTCATAACTTGCTTTTTTTTTTCCATTTAGATACATTTCTCTTTCTTCCCTCTCTTGCCTGATCCTCTTTTGCTTGCTTTGGCATTGCCAGCTCTGCTCTCTTTTCTGGTTCGGAAGGAATGGGTGGTCTTGTGCAGCCTGCTCTGTGGAGACCTGTGGCTGCTGTCTCAGCTCTGTGCTCCAGGTGCTCTGGGGATTGTATTTGCCCCGATGCTGTGCCAGTGCAACATGTATGTGAGTTTATTAGGCTGGGCTGGGGCAGCATAGTTGGTGGCACAATTAAGAACACAACTGATGGGCTGGATGGGCATTAGTGCAGACCCATGCGAGCCACTATGCCCTTTCACTGTTCACTGGGAGCCTCTCTTGGCATGCCTGTCTTGGCGTTACATGTATGGCTCTAGGGCATCAGTGACCTGTGACTGCTCTTAACAGTGTTTGGTAGTGCTGTGGACTTGGGGTTTGGATGCCAAGCAGTGGATGCTGCAGGGCACTAGGCTGTGTGTAATGTGTGTGTGTGTGTGTGTGTGTGTGTGTGTGTGTGTGTATTGGCATTGTGGACCTCATAGTCAATTCACCGAGTCTTTAATAAGCTGGGAGGAGAGTTCTCCTTGTTGTGGGATCTCTACGTGTGCTTTCAGGATTCCTCCCGTGCAAATTGTTCCATAGATAGTTGTGGAATTACTGTGTCTGTCAGAGGAGGTCAGCTCATTCTTCTTTGAACTGATTTATTTGTTAAATTGCACTAGCATGAACCTCAGCCTTTTCCAAAAGTTTATTAAGTTAAATAATGTATACTAAATATAATCATGACCAATGTAAATTTTATTGCAATGTAAATTTTATTTTTATGCTTATGTAATAAATGTAAGTGTATTAAAAATCCACTTAGAAATATGTAAGGAGATAAAATCTTCAACATTCCATCATACTGTGATAATCCCCATTGATGTTTTAAGAGCCATATTTTTCTCCATGTATATATGATATATAAATGGGATTTTATCATAATCATTTTTTTAAATCATGGACTAGCTGTTTATTTGAATGTTTAACAACACTAGACATAAATTTATGGTGCTAATGAGTTTCTGTTTATGAAAATAAATATCATTAATTTTTTTCTCTTATTTATCAGGTCAAGATAGGCAATGAAGTTGCTACTGGGACAGGACCCAATAAAAAGATAGCCAAAAAAAATGCTGCAGAAGCAATGCTATTACAGCTTGGTTATAAGGCATCCACTAGTCTTCAGGATCAGCTGGACAAGGTGAGAGTTAAGTCTGCATGCTCATGTCCTATTCTGTCAGAATTTCAAAGGTGAACAAATTCTTCCATATTTGTTTCTTGGTTCCTTGGTTCTAAGTATTGCCTTAATTGTTAGAATAGATAATCAGACTTTAAATTTTTGGAGGTAATATTCTGTCTTAATTCCTGTAAGATAGATTATCACAGTACAAAGTAACATTTATGGAGTTAAGAAAAGTTAATAATGTACAAATATAATCTTACTACGAGTAAATACTAAAAGTTTGGTAAGTGGTTGTATATATTTTCCATGGTATCAATTAAATAATTTTTAAGCTATTGACCTGTGGTTTTTGCCATTTAAGCAGTTTTAATTTATACTTTTTAATAATTTTGTTAGCCTTTGTTTCTGGAACTAAGCTGAAAGCTTGAAAAATAAAAGCATTGGAAATAAAGATCCTGGTTATCCCTTTAGGGCAGGAACTATATTGAACAGGCACTCTATAAACTAATTTTTCTGTTTACTTAAAATTTAAAGGTAAACTCAGAGGGTGTTTATTTTCTAACAAGACTTGTGTTCTTGATTCTGTTTCTTGTGTGCAGTTAATGACATCATTAACACTTACCAATATTGCAAGAGAAACAGAGAGTCCTGAATTCAGAACTTGTCAGCCAACTTGGCAAGAAGCAGCTTGATTTCATCTTGTATTAACTTTTATCTTTTCTATGCATGTTGTAAATTATGCTTATTACACCTTTTATTTATATGAACATTCATGAAACAAGCTCAACAGTTATTTTCTTAAAAATCAGTATGCTTCTTATTTATGCCATTTTCTGACATAAGGATTCTGTTTCAGAGATATTTTTAGTTTCTACAGTTGTATGTTTCTGAGGTTTAGAGTAGAAAAAAATTAACAAATATGCCCTTATTTTTAAAGCAGTACAAATATCTAAGGAATTATTCTTAGTGATTAAAAATTATTTGTCTGTGCGGTATAGCTAGAGATTTCAATTCTGTTTTTATAACCTGGCTAGTCAGTGCTTTCTCTTCTTTTAAAAGTGTTTGTAACATGAAACCTAACATGTGTGTAATTTCTGTAGTTCTTATATTGCGTATATATTGTTTTAACTTAACACATTTATATTGACTTAAAAACTGGTGAGTAATTTATAAAAATAGATTAGAATCACCTTATAGACATTTATTTGTAAGTTAAGTGAAAATGAAACAGAACAAAAAGCCCGCATTAATTTCATTAATTTGGAAAACATTTTTTTGCATACCCACTGTAATTGTTAGGGTTCTCCAGAGAAACAAAACCCATAAAGTCAAGATGTCTTTGTGAGTATGTATATGTGAGTATGTATGTGTGTACATGTATACACAAGATTAAGAGAGAGAGAGAGAGAGTGAGAGAGAGAGAGAGAGAGAGAGTGTGTGTGTGTGTGTGTGTGTGTGTGTGTGTATAGGGCTCCTGAGCTATCCTCGGAAGTCTGGAGGCCTCAGCTGGTAAATCTTGGCTCGCCAGGCAGGTGATTCTGTGCAAGGGCCCACGGATGGAGTGCTTGGGCCCCATGCTACCAGGGATTACCCAGGCTGTGCTGTGTTTGGAGGCCTACAGGGCCGCCTTGCAGGTGCTTGAGAGACCGTCTAGTGCGGGACACCATCCCAGGGTCAGCTGCAGGCAAGGCATGTCCCCTACCCATCACTCTCTCATTGGCTCTCACAAAGACTTCAGTTAAAGAATCGCCTCATGCTAAATCGCCTCATGCTATTGAGGCTTGCTTGGCTAGTCTAGATTTCAAAGGGGAGATTGGCTGCTTGTAGTCTCAGGAAGAGGTGCAGGTTGGACCAAAGGCAGTTTGCTGCAGTGTTTTTTCTTGCTCCAGATGAGGTCAGCATTTTCTTCAGATTTCCTGCTGGTTGGAAGGGCTCCACCTATATAGTTCTGAACCCGCCACAGTGTACTCAGGAGGTCGGAGAGCCTCTTCAGGTGCTACTCGGCTGACCAGACTGGTTGGTTTAGTGATTTCGCCCAGTGATTGCCAGTCCTGGCTGGTAGAATTGGGGCATCAGCAGAGCCAGCACTGTGGTTATTGGGGGCCTCTAGGGCTATATCCTGTGGTGCTCAGGAGTACTGTGCCACGCCAGGAAGTTGGTTTCTTTAAGGCATGCACCCCGGACCATGGAGCTGTCAGTTTTCAATAGGGGCTACAGCTGCTAGTTCTTGAGAGGGTCAAACCTCATTCCTGGTGGTACTTGGCTTAGTGGTGTGGTCCTGATATCAAACTGAAAAACTGGGCCGGAGTAGTTGTACAATGGGCAGGGTGCTTGCTATGCTTGTGGCCCATTAGGGTTTGATACCCTACATTCTTTATGGTTCCCTGAGTCCAGAGCCAGGAGTAAGCCCTGATCACTGCCGGGTATGGCCCCCAAACTGAAACCAAGCAAATAACGACAAATAAACTTCTGTTCTGGCAAAGGAACTTGGTAAAACAAACATATAGGCACTGGAGAGAGAGGATAGTGGGTAGAGTGCTTGTATTGCTGATCTGGGTTTGGTTCCCAGCACCCCATATGGTTCCCTGAGCCTCATCAAAAGTCATCTCTGAGCACATAGCCAGGAAGAAGCCCTGAGCAGTTCCTGGGTGTGGCCCAAAGCTCAAATAAAAAAATAAGACAAAAAATATCTTCTTGAATGGGAGACTCCATATTACACCATATATTTGACATCTAGTATCCAAGATACGTAGAGAACTCACAAATCGAAGAACCCCATCTAGAATCGGGAAGAATGGCCGATCACATATTTTTCCAAAGTAGACATGATTGCCCACAGACACAAGAAAAAAATACATCACCTTTGATCAGGAAAATTCAAATAAGAATAAGAAGATAGCACCTCATACCAGTGAGACTGGCTTGTATGAAAAGGACCAGGACAGTAGTGCTGGCAGGGATGTGGAGAAAAAGCACTCATTCATTATTGGTGGTGATGTAAACTAGTTCAGCCTCCATGAAAAACAGCATGGAAATTTCTCAAGAAATTAAAAATAGAGCTACTATAAGTTCATCTCCTAGGATTCAGTCCCAAGAACACAAAAATACTAATTTGAAAATATATTTACACCTGTGTTCATTTTAGCACTTAGTAGTTAAGATCTGGAAACAGCCCAAGTACCCAATGACAGATGAGTAGATAGAGAAGTTGTGGGATATATACACAATGAAATATTAATCTTTAGTGTGAAAGTTTGCCTTTTGCTAATATCACGGATGGAACTAGAGGTTATCATACTAAATGAAATAAGTCAGGAGAAGAAAGAAATACTCAGTGATTTCCATTCATAAATGATAACTAAAGAAAGCAACAGAATGAGGGAAGGAGCAGTGTCCAACAAAACCAAAACCTTCGATTCTGATGACAGATCTGAGATTACTAAGAAGAAAGAGTGGAAGAGAAGATTCTTATGGGTAGTGGTGAAAGGATATTTAGGATATTTGCATTTTAGTGGTGTGTGTGACTTGATAGCATTGTACCTCAAAATATAAACATTTGTTTCCTTTTTTTTTCTTTTTGGGTCACACTTGGCAATGCTCAAGGGTTACACCTGGCTCTGCATTCAGGAATTACTCCTGGCAGTGCTTGGGGACCATATGGGATGCTGGGGATTGAACTCGGGTTGGCTGCATGCAAGGCAAATATCCTGCCCGCTGTACTATCGCTCTGGCCCCAAACATTTGTATTCTTGTCAGTGTTATCTCAAAGAAAAATTGGATGACAAAACTAAATTGTAAACAAATGATAAAGCTTTATAAATCACAGAGGTTTGCTAACCTCTACACTAGTGTTCCCTTGTAATTCTACTCTATTAGTATTTATTTATGGACTCACTTTTGAGTAATTGTTTGCAAAGTTTATAATGACCAGAAAAGAAAAGAATCACTTCTGTACAATCTCTTAAGTTACTAAAATAACAAAGTTTTCCAGGCAATAATTAATGGCGTAATAATGCCATTGGACTTAGATGGCAAACTTGTACTTGAAAATATTTAACCCCAGTGATGGGTGTTCTTGAGATCATTTCTTGAGATCATGTTCTTGATCACCTAGGCAATGTACGTGATTTTAGCAGTCATTTATTCAGATGACTATAGGATTATAACCATTTAAAAGCACTTACTGATTTACTTGAAATATTTTCTACTTAGAGTACCTGAATTTCATAATTGTTTTGTACCAAAGGTGAAATTGTCCACAAAAAAAAAAGTCAGGGATTATGGGCTGGGGAGGTAGCTCTGTGGACTGAGAATATGCTCTGTGTGCAGGAGGCTGGGTTCACATAGTGCCTTGAGTACTGTCAGGAGTAACCCCTGAGCACTCAGCTGAGATTGGCCCCTAAGCACTGCCAGGTAGAGCCCCCTCCCAAAAAAAGCTAAAAAAAAAAAGTTTAAAAAAATAAGATATTACAAGTTTCAAAGTTAGGACTTTCAGCTTTCTTTTTGTTGTTGCTTTGTGTCATTGGCAATATTTGGTGATTCTTGTCAAAGTACTTTTTCAGAACAGATTTAGTAATTTTTATCTACTACTCATTGGCCTTAGGAGTGAGAAGAAAGCATTTTCAGTTGGTCACTTTAGCACTTGTAGCTGTCTTTTCTTTTCTTTTCTTTTCTTTTCTTTTCTTTTCTTTTCTTTTCTTTTCCTTTCCTTTCCTTTCCTTTCCTTTCCTTTCTTTTTCTTTTTCTTTTTCTTTTTCTTTTTCTTTTTCTTTTTCTTTTGAACTGTTTGAATAAGAATCACTTGCCATTAAGTCCCAGAGAGGTAGTACAGGGGTTAAGGCACTTTCTGGCCTTGCATTTAGCCCACCCTGCTTCTATCCCTAGCTCCACATAGTCCCCTAAACACCATTAGAGGTCACTCAAGAGCCAAGAGTTGCCCCTGGGCCTTGCAGGCTATAGGTCCCAGCCCCTACAACTGCCCAAATAAACTTACCTGACTAAATTTAAGTCAACAGACAAAAGTAGGAAACATAAAAATATCTGAATGTTGAAAAGGAATAGTTGTTTTTTATAGTTATTTTTGAGTCTCTGGTTCTGAGTCACAAAAGGAAAGAATAAGCGGAATAGCTATGTGAGAGGCTCTTTGCCCTGGTTTACTTGCTTTCTTAGCATTTTTTCTTTTAGTTTAATGAGTGTTTCTCTCAATTAATTTTAACAATTAATTTAATGTTTCAGACAGGGGAAAACAAAGGATGGAGTGGTGGTCCAAAAGCTGGGTTTCCTGAACCAACAAATAACAGTAAGTTTTGAGTTTGACATTAATTATACTTGGTGTTCACTGGGGCTCAGTGACGAGTCCATCCATGGGAATTTGTTTGGTCTCTGTGGACCTCGTAAGTGTTGTGGAAGTTACAAAAATGCCATGGTGTTTGCTTTTCTGGAACGAACAGGAGCACCAAGGACTTATACCCTTAACGTGATTAAGTGTTGTTGACAGACTACATTTAATTTTTATGGTCATGGCATTTAAAAAATTGGTATTTTAATGTATTTTTATTATAATGTAAAATAAAGAAAAAAATCTATCACAAGCCTATTATATGCTAAGATTGACTATTTTCATAAGTTACAATTCTTTGAAATACATGAAAATTTTCACATAATCATAATATATTGAAAGTTTGTGCTATATTTTCCCCTAACGTTGCAGTCAGTGTTTTTCATGCTGTGCTGAATTACCAGAATTTTTAGTACTTTATTACAGTCAGTAATTGAAATATCAGAATGTGGAAATAAAATTAGAGTTTTAGTTCAACCATAGTATTATCAGACACTTAAAAATTCACCAGTGTATTTGTCTTTCCAAAGGTACATGATTAAGTTATTATTAAAAACAGGCATTTCCCCTTAGCTTTCTGGCCACGTCTCCTGAAAAACATCAGTTTTTCACTGAAAAATAACTATAAATTAGTAAAACAAAACACCCAGCTAGCAAAAGCCTATTAAAATAAAGTCCTCAGTGAAGTCACATATATATGAATTTTTAACCTCATTTCTTTTTTCTGATAATTTTTGGAAGCTGTATAAGCGTAAATATATACATTGTCACAATGCAGTCATGAAATTCTCTGATGTGATCCTGATATGTACCACTGTAGCACTGTCCTACAGTTGTTCATTGATTTGCTCAAGTGGGCACCAGTAATGTCTCCATTGTGAGATTTGTTGTTACTGTTTTTGGCATATCGAATATGCCATGGGGACCTTGCCAGGCTCTGCCGTGCAGGCGGGATACTCTTGGTAGCTTGCCGGGCTCTCTGAGAGGGACGGAGGAATCGAACCCGGGTCGGCTGTGTGCAAGGCAAACGCCCTATCCACTGTGCTATCGCTCCAGCCCAGATCCTGATATGTAATGAAATTAATAGCAAGGTTTTATCAAAGAATACTTATGAGAGTTGAATTCTTGGAGATAGTCTTTAGAAAGGAATATTTCAGTCAGGTAATCGTAGTGAAAGTATTTGATTCCAATGCTGTAATTTGTGTTGTCACATCCAAGTGTGAGTCACTGATGGTACACACCAGTGAACTTCTGGGAACAATTTGAATAAATATGACTCAGTCTTTAGGGTGTGTGTGTGTGTGTGTGTGTGTGTGTGTATGATGAATGTGATAGACTTAGCACATATCTCAAGAAAACATGGAATCAACCAGGAGTTTCAGAATTTTGCTTTAAATTATGTGCTCTATGTTTGAGTTATGCAGGTTTATGGTTCCTTGGTTAGAGACTATAAAAAATAATAAATTTCAGTTTTCCTAAGTATTGCTTCCTGAATATTGATTTAGTTCCATGCCTTCTCCCTCTCCTTTTTTTTTTTTTTTTTTTTTTGTGGGTCGGGCTTTAGGCCACACCTTCTCCTCTGGCTCTGCACTCAGGGATCATTCCTGCAGGGATGGGGAAACTATGTGGTGTGCTGGGGACCGAAGCTGGGTCAGCGTTTGCAAGGCCGTGTCTGGCCTGCTGTACCATCTCTCTAGCCCCTCCCTCCCTTTTCCTTTAAAAAAAAATATGCAGTCTGTGTCAACTTGTCAAAAATTCTATTCTTACACTTTTTAATCTGTCAGATGTTACTTTTCCCCATGTTCATGGTGATCAGAGAATATACAGCTTGCACTTGAATAATTACTTTTGGCTTTAGACCCTTCCAAAAAACATAAACATCATGTATTCAGATATGCAAGTCAGATATTAATTTGACAGTTGTAACTTGAAACTGTGCTGTAGATAAGTTGTAAGCTCCATCATTACACAACACTTTCACCTTTTATTGTTACTATTTTTTTTTTTTTAATGTGGCAGGGGATGCCGGAACGGTTTGTAGGGAGGCTAGAGACAGTAGAGAAAGGCCAGTCATTGCAGTGATCAGAAATGTGGAAGAAGGCAACAAGATATGCTTTAGTTAGAATCTGAGAAGTGAGAAAAACTGTCAGAAGCCAATTTAAAACTTCACTGAACTGTTGACACGTGAAGAATTCTTCTGGGATGCAGTATTTCACATCCAGAATTTGCATGTGAGACGAATCCTCCTGCCTTTCCTAATTTTGAAGGCTAAGAAAACAGATACAAGGGCTCATATCTGGACCCTGAACTGGTCTCGGCCATGGTGCAGTGGGTTGGGTGCTTCCTTCCACAGCTCACTGCTGTTCAACCCCCACCTAGAGTAATCCAAAGCGCAGAGCTAGGAGTAAGCCCTGAGCGCAGGTGGGTGTGGCCCCCAAACCCAAACTAAACCAAACCAAACTGAGCTGGCCAGGCTGCCTCAATTTACCACAGATGATGAGGGCAGTCCTTCTCTGAAAACCTTTCTAGGGCAGTTTTCACCAGTGGACCCCCCCCCGCCCCCCAGTTCTGCATTTGCTCGTAGCGGCTGAAAAGCAACCTTGGAGGGGCCAGGCAGATCCTTCAGAGGGATGGGGTGCGTCCTGTATATTCTCACGGCTCTGAGTTTGGTCCTGGCCACCGGGCCGAGCAGAAAATTTTGAGGTCTGCCCTGAATGGCCCTGCACTGCTCAGCCTGAGGGAACTCTGAGCACTGCTGGGGACTCAGCAAGCAAAAGCAATGTTAGGACAGGGTTGCTTTCTTTCAACTTTAAACAATCTTAACTTGAGACAAAGTTTTCTAAGAATTGTCCAATCTGGTCAGCAGTAGAGCATGCCTTGCATATGTGAAATTCTGGGAACCATTCCTGGCACTGTTAAAAAAAAAAGAAAAGGAGGGATTAATTATGCATACAATGACTCTGACACCTGAAAAATGAACTTACATTCAGATATTATAGTAACAGGTTAAAAGCTTGTTACTTAATTAGTTTCTTAGTCTCTCTTCAGTGTTTTCTGTCCTCTGAAGAATTTATTTAAAAAAAAAAAAAAGGCCCTTTTTTGTTTGTTGTTGGGTTTTTGGACCACACCCAGCTGTGCTCAGGGCTTACTCCTGGGTCTGTTTTTCAGGGATCCACTCCTGGTGGGGCTTAGGGATCCATATGGAATACCAGGGATCGAACCCTGTTGGCCACATGCAAGGAAAGTGCCCTGCCCACTTTACTATATCTCCCCAGCTCCCTGGACAAAATCTTATCTATAGAACTGGAGAAAAAACGTTCATGTACATATGCATTTAATTCTGGAAGTAGGTTTTTTTTTTTTCTGTTTGAAAAAAAAGAGTACAGTCGTAAGAAACTGCTAACAATTACAACACAAAATGGTTTAAATGGTTTTACAAGTGACTGTGATTATATAGCCTGGTTTCTTGGCTTGATTGCCTGCAGATTTCAAACTTGTACCTAATTCTTTCATGCTTCTCAGGCTGTTTGCATTGTACTGAGTTGCAGCAGAAGGTAGACTATTCAAAGCATGTTGTTACTCTTTGGATCACTGTCATACTCATGGTAAGGTGCAAGGATACATAACCCTGTAATGTGAGGCTTGGTTTAAATTTAGCTTGGGTCAATTTTATGCTTGGCATACACATAAAAAGTTAAGAGTTTTACAGATGGATGAGTAACAAGTTTTTAAAAAGATCATCATGCATTTTAAAGATCTTACAGCACATGGAAAACTTTGTAAAATATTTAGATACAGTTCAGTTGATAATATCTTTTTTTGGTATTCACATTCCATGTTTCTTATTAATATGGGGTTTTACTTCAAAACAGGTTCATTGTTTCTTAAAGGTGAACGCTAATATAATCCAAAATTGGACAAAGCTCAAAGGTATTCACTGGTATGTGCTGAATCCACCCACTAAAAGATTATTTGGAGGCGTTTTCACATAAATATTTTTTCCGTTAACCTTTTAAAAAGTTTTATTTAGCTCCTGTAAAAATGCTGGCTCTTTTAGGTTCATTAGAGATGACCCAAGACGAATACTTTCAGAATGGCTTAGAATTATTATTGACCTTTTTATTGTCATAGTCGACTCACCCAAATTTTTTGTCATTTTTGTGTCCTATCATGTGTTTTAAAACTCCGTAACGTTCAGAAGAATAATGCAGCCCAGTGATGTGGCATTAAAGCTTGTACATTTGCTTCCCCCGTGCTAAGTACTCTACATAGAACCTCTAATTTTCTGTTTGGTGGGTGAGGGCTGTACTTTTAAGATAATAAATTAATAGAATCTTAAGTGTTTGGGGGAGAATTCCCTGCACAGTTTCTTTTTTGGGCTCTCTTAACAAAAACCACTTTGTAATAAAACATTTAAATTAGTTGGAAGCATTTGGATTCCAGCTGACTCACTTAGGAGAAAAAAAAAATACTATGTTGGAAATCTCAGCATGGCACTGGCCCGAAGCAATCCATTTAAAAAGGATTGGTGGGTTGCTTTGTGTCCTGACAGCCCTGACTCCTGCCAGGTTGGTTGCACTTGGACAAGAACCTGGTCCAGCGAACAGAGGTTCTGTGGGAGCAGGTCACAGCATCCTCACTGCTGTTGCCATTGCGCCTGCTGAGATAGCCACGCAGATGCAGTTCCCTCCCCAGTCCACATGTACTAGGCAGACGCCCTCCCCTTTTTGTATTGGTGCCCTATGCAATGAGAAGCTGTAGTCACCCCACTCTTTTTGTGGAAGTTAGGGGTACTGGGGGCTACTTTTGGCATTGTGCTTGGAGGACCACATGCAGTGTCCAGGATAGCATTGTGGTCGGCCTTTTGACAGGCACGTGCCTTAACCCCTGTATTCTCTCTTTGACACCCCCCCCCCCCCACCTTAAAATTTGTTTTGTTTGGGGACCACGCTCACTGGTGT